CGCAATTTGTCTATCTCTTCTTCAAGCTCCAGGATCTTCTCGTCAGTCCTCAGGGTGCGTGCGTTAAATGTTGCCAGGTCGAGTCGTCGTAGATGGTAACCGAACCCCCACCGGAGATTCTTAACACCCCCTACCCCGCCGTTACCATGGTCACCATCGTAGTCAGGAATAGCGGGGCCGCCGGGGACTGGGGCCGTCTATTTGTGTAATTCTTCATGGGGTGTATATTGCCATAGTTGCCACGCTTGGCGAGCGGGTTGGCAACCGCAGTTTTTATGTTGTACATTTGCTGTTATCAGGAAGATGCTGCTGCCCATCTCCTGCCTATTTCCCTCTGTTGCCTTTTACGACACCCACGGTAAGGGAAGATATGGGGTAGTGGATATTCTTAACCGCCACTACACGGCAGATGCACCGACGGCAGCACCACTATAAATTCTACAAATTTTCAGGGACAGGCGGGCTTTAGAACGTAGAGATCGTTATCCTTCTCTCTAACCTCCATGATGGAAGCCATGGAGGTGGAAGCACTGTCCATGGAGTTTAGAGAACAGTAGAACGATCGCTATGTACTAAAGCATAGAACGCCTGTCCTTGAAAATTTGTAGAATTTATAGCGGCGCTGCCGTCAGTGAGTAGTGACTGCGAAGTTAACTGTTTATGAGTGCAAGTAGATGAAGTTATAGTTGAATAATGTACAAATTTACTTCGCATGCGTGGTGAGAAAATTTTCATGCTCCGTAATTTTTTAATTTTTTTTTACAAAAAGAAACATTAAAAAATGGAGAAATATTTTATTGTGCGTGGATGTGCAATTGGTTTAGCATCTGATCAGATAAATAGACTGAAAATGACTTTTATTGAGCGAACTTAGCGATCGCGGTGCCTCACTTATGGTGTCATTATTTCTTGGATACTATTTTCTACGGCGATCATTATCCTGTTCTCTTACCTCCATGGCACTGTCATTCAAATTACTAGTCAGGGTTTTGGCGGGAACTTGCCCGTAGACGGATTGTCGCTTAAATAATGTTCGAAGTGGATTTTGATTCGTAAAAGTGATGTGATTTTGTGAATTAAGTGTCTGCGCGTGTGAACTATTAGAGAAAACGACGAAATAAGTGCTTTGATGTTGATTTGAAACCTCAAGTTATTTTGATCGCTTGGGCGCCTTATGAACTTGGGTGGCTATCATCACCAACTGTCCTTTCGGTTGTGCTGTCGTCAAAACTCCCCAAACGCAATATGACGCATCAGCATATTGTGAAGAAAAAATATATAAAAATGAAGATTCTGAAAGAAATGATAGGCTCAGAAGGGCTAGATTCCAGAGCCATAAAGCCAGTTAAATAAAGAAAAGAAAATACTTGTTAGTGTCAAATTAAATATTAAATGTCAATCCCGTCAATCGGTCACTCTCACTAGGGTAAATGTGTTCTGTGCTCTCACTCCAAAAAATACACAAATAGGAACATAACCTAATGTTATGTATATATTTGAGTTACTTACTTAGTAGTACCTACTGAGTAACAAAAAATAATCTAAGTAACACCTCGCCCTCTCACCATAAAATTTAAGATTAAAAAATAGACCATTACTATTTTTTGACACAATTACAATGCCTAAAGTTCGCCGTAGTCGCAAAGCACCACCAGAAGGATGGGAACTAATTGAACCTACTCTTGAAGAGTTAGAACAAAAAATGCGAGAAGGTTAGTAAGAATTCATTGTTACTTTTCGTTTTTTTATATAAATGTTAACGAATTCTCCACGAATACACATTCATATTGTTTACTGATTCCAGCTCTTCTAAATTTGTAAATATATACTTAGTAAACTAACAACTCAAAGTTTATTGTAAAATATGAATTATTCCTCTGGCTTATGTGTATATACTTTCAACTATTTTAGTATTATATAGAGATATAGAAGTTATTTACTTGACTTATGGTAGAAGTGCAACATTAGATATACTGAATGAATTAGTTACCTAAATCTCTGTTCATGTTCATGAATAGAAATTGTAAAGGTCTTTGATATTTTGGACAAGTTAAAGATTTAAAGTCACAATTGATTTCTTTGTTTGTTTGAACTAAATTATTTGTGCTTGACAATTATACCATTCAAAATTATAAAAAAAAACTTTTATACTATGGTAAAATCGATGTAATGTATGAGGGAAGCCTACATTCAGCAGTGGATTATTATAGGCTGTAATCTCAGATGAAGTAAAAAAAGGTAGATATTGCGTCTAGAACAAGAAACTGTAACCAATTGTACAACTTTGTGTGAGTCAGAGAAGTGTTGCCACCTTTTTTTAAAAGTCCCTGAAAATAGAGATACAATACTAAAACTATAAGAGTTATGTGCGATGCGAATGCGAAAGTATATGTCTGTTTTAATAAATTTCAACAATTTGACAATTCAAAAAAATGTTGAAGCATGTCGGAGGCATCTGTAGATCTTTTAAAATCTTCTTGATAGATTGTCCAGTGAGCATGTAAGCATCGATAAAATATACAACATATGTAATGTAAAACATGTTTATTATAAAAAATAACGTAATAATAAAAAAAAATTGTTGAAATAAAAATAAATTTCCATGGAATTAAAAATATATTTTTCTAAATGTAAAAAAAAGTATATTTTAGTAAATGCAAAATAGGACAAACTCCAGGAGGGCACACCTGAGTCTCGGTTTAAAAGAGCAAGGCCTGCTTCGCTGTCTCCGGGTGGTAGTGGACAGCATTAAGATTGGAATGAAGTGTCCTGATATTGCAAAAATTCACGAATAGCGTGACAGGGGTCGCCTTGGTCTTATTGCTCCGCTTGCCCCTAGCAGTTTTAGTCGCGAGCAGAATGCCCCCCACCCCTTTCCCCAGAATACGTGGAGCAGCCTAAGCACCCACGTTCAGGAAGAGTAAAGTAGCTTGGTCGTGGATGCTCAGTGAGGGATTCTCCGTCACCAGGAGTGAGGGTACCCTCTTGGGGTAGTTTTTATTTGATTCCGCTACGATGTTAAGGAGGAGGGGGAATTGGGCCTCCAGCCCAAGTGAAACGCAGAGGTAAACCTCTACTTCACGCAAGTATTCTGTGAGATTGAACGGTACCACCCTGGTTCAAGCTGGCCCATCCATGCGACATCAATAGCCGCTGCGTAGCTCTACCACTGTCAAGTCAAGAGGATGGCTGCCATTTTGGTTTATTAGAGCTCAGTCTTATAGCAGCTACTCTTCATTTTTTTATAGGATAGGGTGACAAACGAGCTCACAGTCCACCGGATGGTAAGTGGTTGCTGTGGCCCATAGACATCTACATATATCCTCGATTACGAATCAAAATGCAGATGTGTTATCACTCATGAAGACTAAGATGGAATGCCTCATTACCAGTAAAAAGGTTCTCCGGTTCTTTACACTCACAATACGAAACAGCAGCATTAAGCTACTATTTTACGCTGGTATTCTGTGAGAGTGTGGTCCTTTCCCAGTCGAGCCGTCCCATTCGTGCTATAACTATACTACTAATAGTATAACTGCAGCATGGCTCTACCACGTAAACAATTCATATCTTATTAAAATATTCGTTGGTAGCCTAAATTCATAAATATTTTTAGATAGTAAAATAGTTTGTAAGTACTCAACAATTAAAACAGAAACATCAACGACTTAAAAAATTAAATATTTACCTTGACTTCAATTTGATGTAACATAATAACAACTAATTTAAAAAATACACCTAAAACTTAACCTAAAATTAATTACCCAAACCTTGGACCATTAGAAATAAGAAATACTGGCAACATTCTCCCGTTACGTAATCTCGAAGCATTTACATTGGTGCTTCGAATAACCTTCAAAATTGTGTTGGAATAAGAAATTAAAATATAGTTAAATGAGTGTTTGCGAGTGAAACGATATTGCTTCAGACTTTTTTTTTTCAATTTAGTATTGTTTTTGCACACATTTAACTACACATTACGGCATTTTGTAGGCAAATTTACTGCACGACGCCCCGGGAAGTACTGAGCGTAGTTTGATGCATGAGTGTGCGTGAACGCGTGTGCTTACATAAATGAGCGGAGTTTTTTGACTTCACCAATAACAAAGGCCGCGCTGTATCTACCTTTTTTTACTTAATCTGAGGCTGTAATGAATGAATGAAATTATATTATTTAGTTTAATTCTTACATTTAAATGTTCACAGCTGAGACAGAACCACATGAAGGCAAAAGGAAACAAGAATCTTTGTGGCCTATATTTAAAATTCATCATCAGAAATCCAGATATATTTATGACCTGTTTTATAGACGGAAAGCTATTAGTAGAGAACTTTATCAGTATTGTCTTGATGAGAAAATAGCCGATGCCAACTTGATAGCTAAATGGAAAAAGACTGGGTATGAAAATCTATGTTGTTTGAGATGTATACAAACAAGGGATACAAATTTTGCAACCAACTGCATCTGCAGAGTACCTAAAAGCAAGCTAGAAGAGGGTAGAATAGTAGAATGTGTCCATTGTGGCTGCAGAGGATGTTCAGGATAACGCTATACTATAGATTTAATAAATAATAAGAATAAACCCTTTTTTTAATCTTATGTAAATTTAAGTTAATAAGTAACTAAAGTAATGCTAGCATTTGGTCTATAATTTGGAATCTATCAGAAATTGAGAACCTTTTTACATCTATACGTTTTTGTGTGGTCACTATGGAAATATAAGTGTTCATTGGGTCCGATTGCGTTTCTCTTCGAACCTAAATAATGACAGACTAAAATTTTACTAAATATGTCCATGTCCTTAACCTAAAGTTAACGTTTCTGTTAAAATAAGTTCACGTCACTAAATTTGAACTTAATTCTATGTCTATGGAAATGGACATAATTACGTTCATTTGCCGCCGCAAATGGCAACATCACACCACTAGTCTGTCAAGTTGTCAAGTCTGTCGTGGTTATTTTTTGTGTTTTCGCAAGAATTATTGAAATTTTAATAAATATGGATACAAAGAAGCCAAGAATGAAGAAAGAACAGCAACAATATTTATTAAACTTCTTGATGAGGAATCCAGAAACGGTTAACGGTATGTTTACAAAATATTTCGTGTGAATTTTTGTTTTAGTAGTGTAAATTGTGTATATTTTAATCTATCGATTTACCCTACTCATCCATCCATCTATTTACAGAATAGCAAGTTCATTTTAAATTTGATCATAATCATATAATTGCACTCTAACTTATCCTGTCTACAAGCATTCCTGTGTAAATTCAGTTTGGTAGTCATATCGCATTGCAACGTTTGTTATTACATTTACAATCATTTATTCATGTTAAATTATAACATAACATATAATATAAATAATTGACATCCAATAAAACATGATGTTTTCATACTTACCTATACTTCATTTGTCTTTATTTATCAACAGGAAATTGTCAGTTGCCGGCTACCAAAAGATTGTGGACTGAACTGACAGAAGCCCTCAATGGAATGGGAGGTGTTCGTAAGACACAGAAAGATTGGTTAGAGGTTAGTGGTGCTTCATACATGAAATTGTCCTAATTTTGTACTAAATATATCAGTGAACTTTTAAAATTTAAATCATAACCAACCTACTTTACCCACTTGGATATTAGTTAAATGTTATGTTATAAAATAGTTGTTAAATGTATAATCTAAATCTTTCAGACATACAAGTTATTAGCACGCAGGGCGAAGGCTAAGATGCGCACACAGCGTGCATCCATGCAAAGGACTGGAGGTGGTCCTCCAGCAGATATCTGCTTGACAGAACTGGAGAAAAAAAACAATAAATATAGAGGGGACATCAACTATATATGGATTGCCTGGAGCTGTGGAAGCTGTAAGTTATTGGCATTGGTTTTTTGTAAGCTCTATATTAGATTTACTTATTTTTTCATGATTGCATCAATCATCACAATTGTGTTAATTTTGAAAACTACATACATTACATAGCATTAATATTATAAAGATGTCCTTTTATAATATGTACGGAAAACCTTGATCCTTGACTTGTAAATTTCTTACAGGGTATTATTATTGTCCCAGGGATTCCACAGCCCATTGTTGATGTTCCGGATCCTAATGTTAAACAAAACATAGTCATGGTGAGTGTGTTATGGCAATGCTTGTAGCAGTCGTGATATTTATTACCAGTAATGATCTGATGTTAAGTTGATTTTATTTTGACTACAGGTTTTGGATAATACTCAACTGCCAAAGCCCAAGCAGACGTTGATTTTAGACGCAGTAACAGTTGTGAGTATATTTTACCTATTCACAACAACATTATTATATACATATAAATAAGATTTGTTAGTTTTATAAATAAGTTTAAACAGTGCCCTTATTATGACTTGAGTTCTACTGATTAGATTTTGATGTAGTTTTCATTAAGCGTTTATGGTCAATTTTGGTAATTATAGAATAACCGCATTATTAATGGTATGGGTAATAAATACTGAAGTCATGTTAAAAAGAGTTTTATGCATAATGGTATTCTGAAATTGACTTCATAGTGGTTACAATTGTATAAATTTATCCTTGTAATTGTACTATGCAGGATATACATTCAGACACTGAAGAAGAGCCCCCGAAGGAAGCGGCTATGGTGGACGTGTTGACACCGACGGCGAGTCACGATGGGGCGACTGTCGTCACTTCAATGGCGACGGACGCGTCATCAATACCGACAGCATCTCGCGTTGGTCGAATTGCGGTAGACGCGTTGATGATAGTTAGTTAGTTAGTTTGCGACGGGCTGTTTTCCGCAACTCCACGTCTATGCGCGTATTTTGCGTGTGGGCAGGAATAATGTGATTATTCGAGCCATGAGATCTCCCCGAAGAAGCTCAACAGTCCCTTGATGTTGCATGCAACTTCGGGGAGTGATCCCGGCGTGCCGAGATGTTTAGCCCTGTACGTAGCGACCTCCGAACATTTCAGTAGCACGTGGGCCGCCGTTTCTTCCTCCCCCATACATGCCCTGCACAGGGGACTATCTGTAACACCTATAGTAAATAAATGTTTGTTAAAGGTGCCATGTCCTGTGATAGCACTAGTTACTATCCTGATCTGCGGCTTGTTCAGTCTCATTAGAACTTTGGTTAAGCGACTGTTTATTACAGGTAGGGCCTCCCTAGCTTGTCTACAGTCTACTAGATTTTTCCAAAGCTGAGCGTGTTGATTAGTGAAGTGTCTACGTACCATTGAACGAACGTTACCAAAGGGGATTGGTATGATTGGTTCCGGCCCTATAGTGGCCAGAGCCGATCCTCTTATGGCCAGTTCGTCCGCTGCATCGTTGCCTCTGGATCCACTGTGTCCCTTTATCCATTGCAGAGTCACATTGTTGTTTTTACATACCTCATTTAATCGTTGATGGCATTCATATATTAGTCCCGAGTTCACCTCATTGCAACTCAGAGCTTGTAGTACCGCCCTACTGTCGGTCAGTATTCTGATGGGGAAGTCATTAACCTTCCTAGCATCTATTGCTATGGCCGCTTGAATGATACCCATACATTCCGCCTGAAAGACCGTGTTATAGGTACCCAGCGGTGTGCATATGTGAATATTGAGGTCTTCAGAGAAAGCTCCAGAACCTACACCTTCATTTGTTTTAGAACCATCGGTGAAAATTCTAAGCTCTTTTGGGCTTAATCCTTCCGGCTGGCTGTTTTCATTTAATTGTATCTTGTATTTCTTATCGAAAACAAATTGTTTAGGAATCCTACCGTATTTGGCTTGTAGGATAGGAATTTCTGAGTAAATTCTATCAATTATGCCTGTATGAGGGACACTATTCTTACTCCAAAGATTTAGGGTCTTGAGTCTGATGGCAGCTAAAGTCGCTTCTTGTTGTATATGTAGATGAAGCGGAGTTAGCTCCAGCATCGCTTCCAAGGCTGCTGTTGGCGTAGTTCTTATGCAGCCTGTGGCAGCCATACATGCCAGTCTCTGGTAGCGCTGAAGCTTCTTAATTGTGGTGGCTTCATTGGTCTTGGTCCACCATACCAGAGCGCCGTATGCGATCATGGGCCGGATTACAGTTTTGTAAAGCCACAGTATGATTTTTGGCGTCAGTCCCCATCTTTTGCCAATCATGTTTCTGCATTGCCAGAAAGTTATACTAGCTTTGTTGATTTTGTTTTCTATGTGTTTATTCCAGTTAAGTTTGCTGTCCAAGGTAAGACCTAAATATTTTACCTCAGAGGATAGCTGGAGTTTTGTGCTGAAAAGACTTGGAAGATGATAGTTATTCAGCATTCGTTTTTGTGTGAACATTACTAAAACCGTTTTATTTGGGTTGACGGTTAAGTCGTATTCCCTGCACCATCTCTCCACTATACGGAGAGCCGCTTGGGTCAGGTCGCACACTATGCTAGCTGTCTTTCCCGAGACCAGTATAGTCAGGTCATCAGCATAACCTACTGTATAAAAGTGATTAGTATTTAATTTGCTTATGAGTTCATTAATGACCATATTCCACAGGAGAGGTGAGAGGGACCCCACCCTGCGGGCAACCTTTCTTAATTAGGATTGGTTGAGATTCACCAGCAATCTTTATTATTCGTGTACTGAGCATGCAAACTATCCAGTCGATCAGTGCCGATTCAACTTTATGTCTACTGAGTGCACCTTTTATGCTGGAGAAGTTTGTTCTGTCAAAAGCACCTTCTATATCTATGAAGGAACCTAGACATATTTCTTTGTTTTGGATGGCCCCTTCAATCTTTGTAATTACCTGATGAAGTGCCGATTCTGTTGATTTGCCAAGACTGTAGGCGTGTTGCTTGTCGTGTAGTGGTAAGTTCATTAGCGCCGACCCCCTTAATTCCCTTTCACACATCCTCTCCATCGTTTTTAGGAGAAAGGATGTGAGGCTAATGGGCCTGTAGGATTTAGGGTCAGTGTAATCGCTCTTACCTGGTTTGGGTATAAATGTGATTTTCACTTCCCTCCATCCCCTAGGAACATATTTTAGAGCCAGACAGGCTCTCATTATGGCAACAAGTCTGACTATTAGGGCTTTACCCCCCCACTGTAGGAGTGCCGGGAATATGCCGTCAGGTCCTGCCGCCTTATAGGGGAGGAAAATGTGAATGGCCCAATGGATTTTGTCCATCGTTACCACTCTCTGTGCTAAATTCCAGTCTTCTACTGTTGGTGTCAGTATGTCGTCATGCCGGTTTGCCTCCTGGGTTAAGCAGCAACCTGGGAAGTGCGTTTTAATTAGGATGCGTTGGGCTTCATCCGGCGATGTTGAGTAGCTACCGTCGGGTTTCTTTAGAGACATGGATCCCGACGTGTTCTGTTTAGCTAGAATATTCCTTATCCTATTTGCTTGTTTGCAGGTTTCTATGTTGCCACAGAATTTACGCCACCCAGTCGAGCGTCGATACCTGATACATTTTTTGTATTCATACTTAGCTTTCTTATATAGTAGCCGCGCGTTGATGATGCCAGCGGCAAATAGGGATCTGGCGACGATCAGTTGCAGTCGTGAACACATCGTGGCCTCAACCCCTGAACAGAAACTGGAGGACGGCGTGGTGCGCAACACTCCGCGCCTCGAGCGCCGCAACGCGCGTCTAGCAACGCCCCGTATGCTCGTGCCGCCAGCCGATTCAGCCACCCCGCAAGAAGATGCCATGATAGCGGCTTTAAGGGAGGGAGCCCAAGCGCAGATGGCGCTCGCCAATGCGCAGACAGAGGCCGCTCGGTATCTTGGCGATTGCATAATGCGTGCCGCTACCATGTTCGTCGAAGCGATCAATAAAAATAAATAAACTATTTTTTCGAAATTAAGTTTTATATTTAGTAGTTTTATTATTAATTCTTTAATTTAAATCTATAATTAAAACACAAATATATAAATATATTTCGAATATTTCTTGCCACATTTAAAAAATTCATATCCCTGGGAGGATCATCTGCTGGCCGCAATCTGTTTTCGAGTTCTAATTCATCTGGTAAAGGTTCATTTCTCTTAATTGCCACGTTATGGAGAACAACTACAGCTGCTATTATTTTAGATGCCTTCACCGGGTCATAATGCAACGTCCTGTGCTTGTGAATGCATCTAAATCTTGTTTTCATCACTCCAAAACATTTTTCAATAAGAACCCTCGTTTTGGTATGCACTAAATTATATCTAGCCTCAGGTGTATTTTCATCCGCATCAGCATGACGGGGTCATCAGCCAAGGCAGTTGGGCATATCCAGAGTCTCCTAGAAGCCATTCACCAGCTGAAACTCCGTTAACATAATTGGTTTCCAATAATTGGCTCAAACTAGATCCTTGCCAGACCGCTGCATCATGTGTTGATCCAGGAAAAGTGGCATTGAAATGAATTATTTCCATCTTTGCATTACATACAAATTGGCAATTAAGACTATAAAAGCCTTTGCGATTAAAAAATAATCTCGCTGGCACAAGTGCTGTGTCTTTTGGGCGAACAATGGAGATTTGACTACAGTCTATCAAACCCAAGACTGAAGGGAACCTTGCTATCTGTAAAAACCTCTGTTTATTTTCTGCCCTTTCCTCTTCAGTCTCTGGAAATAGCACCATACCGTTCAATAAAACAGTTATAATTGCATCAGCAACTTCTTGTAAGCATTTGCTTACAGATGGCTGACTTAAACCTAAATACTGCCCCTGCCCAACCGTTGTTTGGTAGCCGCCATGTCCAAAGAAATGGAGTGAAGCCAAAACTTTGATATGCACAGGAATTCCGTGCTGCCTTTGTCGATTTAAATTCTGGTGAAGACACTCCACTAAAAAATGCGCAGTTCTTTTGGAGAGCCTGTATAATTTGGTAAAAACCTCTGCAGACACGTCGAAAGGGTTGGAATGGTCCCGAATATGGCAATGCGCTATCCTTCTCGCAGCCCTACAACGAAAAAAGTTAGGTTATATTATGCTTATACCTACCGTATGCAAGAAAAGACGTTTCTATAATATAAATTTCGTACTCATACCGTTGCCGTCCTCATTGTGTCTTCTTTGAATGGTAGCCCAGCCATAAGGAAACATTTTTCACTATTTTCTTAAGAAACTTAGCTTACGTACGGACTAAATAGGTGCGAACTTAAAGAATAACACTTCCTAGACTTATAAGTTCATTTAAAGCCAACGAACTGTCAAATTGTCAGAAACGGAATAGCAAAAGACATGCGTAGACATAATTTAAGTCCGAATTGGACATAAATAGTGTTGTGGACGTAATTAATTAACAAACGCAATAGCAATAATATTAGTACGAATTTTAGACTAATTTAAGTCTATTATTCGGCATTATTTAAGTGCGCCAAAGAAACGCAATCGGACCCATTATCAATAATAAATATTAAGAATAAGTGTTCATAATTATAAAGATCAATTTTATTTGGATAATTTTCTGATGCATAGCACCTGTGGCAGTGTGTGTGTGAAAATTTGGCAAGCAGCCAAAGGAGACGGGCGAAAGTTCATAGAAAGCTGGGCCTGATGTTACAGCAACGATTACTGTATTATTTTATTTATATATCAATACCATTTTAAAAAAACTAAAATTTTTAAGTGTGCTTCATGGTAGAAAAAAAAAATAGGTTGTTATTTTGCTGATGCTATGCATACAATGTTATTCTCACACCAAGCTCTCACATTTACACTTTAAGAAAATAATTATTAGACTTTATTGTAAACTAGACTTTACCATAATTTTATGTCTTGTAGGACATTTACAAATAGAAGATTCAGACGCCGCCGTCCAACTAAATTCTAGAAGTTTGAAATAATTATAAATAAGCCAGCCAAGAGCGTGTCGGGCCACGCTCAGTGTAGGGTTTCGTAGTTTCCCGTCAGTCACAATAAGTGTTCCCACTTATGAGTTTAAAGGTGGGTATCCATTATGTTCGCGCTCCAGCAGCGCTCCGCGCTCCTGCAACTGCTCCCGGTAGTGGGTACTGTTGTTTCCATCCAAGTTCAAAATGATTTTCCTAGAAAGTCCTTATAAAGTTCTACTTTTCAGATTTTTTTCATATTTTCTAAAGTTATGGTTCAAAAGTTAGAGGGGGAGGGGACACATTGTTTTTTAATTTTGGAGCGGTTATTTTCGAAATTATTGACATTATCAAAAAATGATTTTAGTAAACCCCTATTCATTTTTAAATACCTTTCTAACAATATATCACACGTTAGGGTTGAAATTAAAAAAAAAATCACTTCCCACTTTACATATAGGGGAGCTACCCTAATAAAACATTTTTTTCCAATTTTTATTTTACCACTTTGTCGGCGTGATTGTGACCGTTAGCACTAGAAAGCTGAAATTTGGTACCAATATGTGTATCAGAGATTAAGCGAGGACGGACAGACGGACATGGCGAAACTATAAGGGTTCCTAGTTGACTACGGAACCCTAAAAAGCAGAAGGAGGATGAATTAAGAACGTTTTCCCTTTTATTGATTTAGTCCACTTCATCATAAACAAATAAAATATTGTCTAAAAACGGTGCAGACGATATTAAATTCTCTTGACGCCTTGCCCAGCTTAGGTACCATATTATGGACATTACATGACACAGCAACCTACAGTTCTTTTTCCTACAACAAAGAATTGAAATAATGACTGTTTGATGATCTCTCTTTCATTAAGAGGTACTGTCAACTAAAATATATGTAAAATATGTCTACTTGAGCTTAAGTATATGTCTCGATTTTATTCAACCTCTCAATAGCCAGCTAGAATGGTTGGATAGTACCAAGGTGGCTAAAGAGGTGAATACAATTCTCTTAGTAGGTTGCTGTCCGTTTCTAGACACACTTCTATTTCATATCTCCCATCTTGTATGTGTTCACCATAACGGGACCTAGCCCACTTAATTTGATAAATACCTAAAGATATTTTTATCGATTTATTAATTTATTCAGTCAATTTATTTTTACGACTATTTTGAAATGTTAAAGTGTCTCACGAGGAAACCATTATTTAAATAAGAAGTTTCTTAAACTTACCTAAAGAAGAAAAGACTGAATCACTTTTTATTGTCTTTTTTCTATTTTTGTATTAAAATCGATTAACTAACCTTTTTCATCTGGCAGCATTGTTTAAAAATAAAAATAACGGAAGTCAGTATTATTCTTATTAAGTATTTAATTTCTTTTGCCATGATAAAACTGCTTAATATTTCACTTGTGTAACGTTAGGCCCAAATTCGCCCGTCTCCTTTTCATGTTCAATTACTTTTCAATATTAAATCCCTAAATTGTCTAAATAACTTTTTTACATATTATAAGCCAAGTACTTAACCAAGGTCCTATCTGGTGGTAATTGGTGATGTAGCCTTAGATGGTAAATTGCAAATTCTAAGCGTAATAAATGCCTATTGCCCAAATTGTATTTGAACTAAAAGATAGATGCCAGCGAATGTTTCCATTCCTTTGCTTTGCTGTACTTTTGCTATTAGAAAAGATTCCATTACTTTTGCTAATAGAAAAGATGAAGCAAACCATTAGATTTTAATGAGTTGAATATGAACAACAAAGGGGTGAAGACCCGCCGACCGCCTGGATGTCCGTTGGTGAAAAGGAGTGAGAGGAATTAAAGTGGAAGGAAATAATTAAAATTATACTTGCAATTGTTTTCAATTAGTGTTAAAACTTAATGCGAATTGTATTTACACATGTTTTTGTCCAATATGCTTCAGACAATTTTGAGTTATCAAAATTTGGATCTATGCCAGTGGTACTCAATTAATTTCCTGCTTACCACTTATAACAACTGATAACTGGTATATATATTTTACATGGTCTACCATGCTGCAGCTATATTAGTAATATAGTTGTAACACAATTGGCTCAACTCGACCAGGGAAGGACCACACTCTTACAGAATAACAGTGTGAAATAGTAGCTCAATGCTGCTATCACACTGTGTCATATGGTAAGTGTAAAGAACCAGATACCTTTTTTTACTGGAAAAGAGGCATTACATCTTAGTCCTCAGGGGTGACAATGACAATGCATCTGCATTTTGATTCATAATCGAGGATAGATCTAAATGTCTATGGGCCATAGCAAACACCATCAGGTAGACTGTGCCTGTATATCACCCTGTCCTATAAAAAATAATATATATATGCATGTGTGTGTGTTACCAGCAATGTGTATAGTTTAGTCATTGTATAGAATATGTACCTAATTATTCTATGTAATGCTGGATTTGCCTAACAAGGCAATGTATAAAATATGTTTTCTATTGTTTAGACATAAAATTAGGTACCTTAACATATTTCATAAAAAACTGCAAATTAATATGTAAAGACCTAATATCAGTAATCATCATCTCTTGGTAATTATAGAGAACAGTTATGAATGAACTGTTCAGCCTGTCAAAACACATCTACTGAACATAGGCCTCCCACAAAGGTGTTTTTCATCAGTTGTCACACTTTACACACTGGTTGGCTGGACCACTGTTTTTTAAAATACTTGAGCACTTTGTAGGGAGATGCTGCTTCACATCTCCTGCTTCCGTTTCTCTCTGTCTCCTCTTACGACACCCACAGGATGATATGAGGTAGAGAAAATATTAGCAAACAGCTCTAATTGTTGTTCATTATGATGCTTGTCAAAAAAGAATACTTTTCACATTGTCATTTTTGTAGACAATATTTACAATGTGCTCACTAAAACCTAGAAAATATATAGGTACTTGTTGATGCTCACAATGATCTCTTGCTTTTAAAATCATTTTACATTAATAATAGTTAGTGCATTGCCACTTATGTTTGGACTATCTTCATATAAAATTGTAATTTGAAAGATATTTAATTTTAAGGATTAAGTATTTTCATAAAAATCTAATCTTGTATAAATATATCCCATGCCTCCTGTTCACCTGAAGAATATGCTATGAGTATAAATGCAACAAGTTATAGTTAAAAATGGATTAGTGTGTATAAATAATGTCTGTAAATTAACTTTTAATAGAATCTTTAATCAAAATTTAAAGAGAAAAGAAAACAAAATGCAACAGTTCTTTGCTAAACAATTTAAGGATACATAAATCCAAATATGAAAGAGTAAATGAAACAATATACACATAATATATTGTTCATTACATCTGAATTAACCTACAAACTGAAACCTGTTTCATTTTTCTAGCGATATAAAACAAGATTGTAACTAATTTACAATTTATAAAAAATAAACAAAACAAAGAATTTTTGGACTCAAAACTTAACCGAAGAAATGTCATGAAATGGCACTTAGTACAAACATTTAGTTAAAACATCATCACCAGTACTTTCGTTATTAGAACTAAGTAACAGATTTCTCTTAGAAAAAAAAAACAAGACGATGCAATGGAAACTTGCAATCTTAGCAACTAATTTAATCTTATTCATAAATTCTTATTCTCTATTTGTATTCCTAAATCAGTCACTGCTTAAAGCTAAGCTCAGCCTTCTTTGAATACCCTGTTTCTGTAATTAATGATGGAGATACTAATATTAAATTAAACAAAAAATATTTGCCTATTCACAAATACTTAAACAGTAACTTCTTTAGGCTCCACACTTTTCGATAGTTCTAGTATTAAATCTTTGTAGACTAATTCATTTACATTTTTGCTCAGCAAGTATAATACAAACCAATCGCCAAAGCTAAAATGTTTAATAATTTTTGACACAGTTCTTCTTTTAACATACCTCAAGCGGCCCATGATCATAATGGAACGTAATGGAGGTAGGCAGAAGATTAATATACGGAATAAAATAGCGACTGTCGACATAAAAGCTAAAACAACTAGCCAAAACCAAAGAATGATAAAAATTTTCTCATTAATGATGTTCAACGGTAAAACACACAATCGGTCTTTTAGTTGTAATGATCCTGAAGGTCCATATGATCTGAACCAGCACTTAGTCAGCTTCGGAAAGTAACGATCCATGGGGTTGACGGAAACAAAGTCTGTCATATCTGCTGGAAGCCTTGGTGAGTGGGTAAATGCTGCAACAGCAGTACCATAATTCCGGAAAGATCCTCCCAAAAACAAATCCAATAGAAATATCTGGCCAATCTGTAACATTTTGAAAATGAAACACTAAAAATAATATGATGTGTATACCAAAACAAATAACATCTAAGTTTTGTGTAATTTTTTTTTCTCTTCTATGTATTTTAACCTTATATAGTGTTACGAACTTAGGATTCGTGACAATAAAAACTGCCGATTGAATTACCAAAATGGACACTTTAATTACCGAACACCAATCTAAACTTAAAAGACACTAATAATTAATCACACTGATTTATTTCGCTCCGAAGCTTCGCTTGTATCGCCAAATTTAATACTGCCCCGGTGGCGGGCTTGAACGCCTTTATATACGCCTTTTTCACCCATACATCCAGAATATTCTAGCGAATACTGACCCTCGATCGACCAGGTGCAGAAAGTTCGAGTGTGGAGCTTTCCAGAAAGCTTAGTTCTTCTATTCGATACTAGATGGCGCTGTTGGTTGAAAGTTCAGTCATGTCATTTTCTGGAAAGCTCTCCTCGCTCTGTTCCCCGACACTAGATGGCGCTAGTGCCAGGTACCAGACATCAACTTAGGCGCGCAACAACAGCATACAAGTTTTTTATTTGAGCAAAAACAGTTTACATACACGAATTTCACAGCAATTATAATATTTGTAGGCCTCTCTACTTGTTCCATGCGGGATTCGAACCCACGGCCCTTAGCTGCATCGCATTGCTAAGCCACTGTGCCATGGAGCAGTCTATCCACGGGTAAGCGGGGGGGGGGTGTCTACTTAGTAGCCGTGGCTTGGTCACCCGCGATGAACTAAGAGGACCACATGGCTCGTCCATTGTAAAGGGCAGGCTTGAGGCGGCAACTCTGAGTAAGTTTGGCCACTCGGATTCCACTTAGGATGTATTAGTGGAGCCGCGAGATGGGCGTCCCCTCCTGTGCATCATGTAAAACAAAACGTGTGCAGGTCATCACACGCGGTAGAAGTGAATCCTTCAGAAAACTGAACTTCGAGAGAATGAAACGAATACAGAGTAGGTATTAGAAGTAAGACAAATGTAGAATTTATCAATCACTAATAAAAAAAACTATTAGTGATCGATGTATTTTTTTATTATATTGTGACCAGGTATATATATACACATACACACACACAATATATATATATACGTATCAACGTTCCGGGAAGTCTGCAGTTTGTGATCATATCCTAGACGGAGCCAACCATTACATCAGATTTGATAGACCACAAATCCTCGCGAATGAACACCGATTCCTACCAAGGATGATACGTGAGGCTATTGAAATTAAAAAACATCCTAATTTCAATAGAGAAGGAGGCTGGGTACTACCACCTGCTTGGGATCCTATAATCAATAAAATTAAAACTAAACCCAGGCATACCACTGCAGGACCTCAGGACATAGTTCTTTTTGCATAGATCGGACCATAAACAATAATTAAAAAGCTGAAGGTACTCCGGGTTTAACAATGACATCGGGACGTCAGTCATCTCAGTCCCCTGTGACCATGGGTGCTGGAAAGCGCCCGAAACGTCGGGAATTAAAAATAAAAGTAAATAAAAAGTAAAAATAAACACGATAAAATCCGTAAAAGTAGTTTTAATCATGTATAGTGTTCGCGTAAATATAAGAAATCATTATATATATTATTCTACATATACCTATTACATACATTACATATTAAATAGATATATATTTTTAGAATTGTCTGTCTGTCTGTTTTGCTAACATATCATATATAAAGTACTCATTTAATATCAAAATAATCTTAAGAGGATACCTTGAAAATGAGTCGAAGTTTTGTGGGGCGTGGCTTATTCCTTTGTCGGTGAAGTTAACGGACCACTGAGGGAGTGTCAAAATGAAAGCGATGCAATGACTTCATAGTACGCAAATTATGAGATAGCCATACCGAGCTAGCGCTCAGAAAAAAACTAAGTAAGCGCCAATAATTTTCATTTATTTTAACAAAACTTCATTATGGATTAAAAAACTGGTTTATGAGAACTTAGATATGATTATTTACTATGCCTTAAAAATAATTCCATGAAATTATTTGTAAGAATATTGTGGTGTCATCGAGAAATGTAAATAATTAGAGCCTACTTTGCAATTTTTTTCTATCGAGAAAATTACATAATATCGTGTTTTCCTTTTATGCAATCCAAGGTCATATAGTCAAAAATCATATACCAAAATTTTGGTTTGTAATCTATAAAACTTTTTAGTCTTTGTTTTATAAAAATCGGTTCATCCTATCAAAAGTTATGATTAATATTCTGAAGTATGGGTACGAAATATAGGTACGAATTTGTTCAATGGTGGTGTTGAGTGATCAAGGACATTTTTGTAATTAAATAATGTAAAATAGTGTTCTATAATGATGTAATTGTATCCAAACGCAGAAGAATAACATAATCAATATTTATAAAAAAATATATAAATCCTTGATTAAAATTAGTTTTACTTCTTTTTATTATTTTTAATTCCCGACGTTTCGTGTGCTTTCCAACACCTATGGTCACGGGGGAGTAAGGTGACTGACGTCCCGATATCATTGTTAAACCCGGAGTACCTTCAGCTTTTTTAATGGACCGGTTCGTTAAAAAAGCTGGGAACGTCGGGAATTAAAAATAAAAATAATTCAAATTAAACGCGATAAAATCCGTAAAAGTAGTTTTAATCAATGTGTAGTGTTCGCGTAAATATAAGAAATCATTATATATAAATCCTAATATCTTAGTTTAAAAAGTACAACAGTTAACCAATGTCATCGATAGATGGTGTTGTGCTTATAATTTTTTTCTTAACTGCCGAGTACCTACCACATGGTCTAAATCAAATTTGAAAGAGCTATTAACAATTTTTTTGGTTTCGGCAAGGATCATATCAATCATATAGAAGCTTGGCAGTAAACATGTTATGCCATCAAAAACATAACTTGTAAAAAAACCAAGTCTAGCAACTCAGTTCTTCTACCGTAAAAAGTTGTGAGATCAATGTAATAGCAAGTCGGTTAATTTATTCAGCCTACTTAAGGGTCCTTCTGTTTTAAGTTATTACGTAATTAGCTAACCTAACAACATTTTATAGAGACCATATCAATGTAAAAAAAAAATTATGTTTTAAATATATAGATTGACTTGGCCATCGCATGAAAACACAATGTATCTCACAAGTAACACATATTATATTAAATTAGATTGCTTAGTGCGATTGCCAAGTCTACCTTATGACATAGAAATCTGTCAACACTGTATTTATTTTAAAATTAGTACTAGCAACGGTATTAACATTACTAATATTCCCTTTAACCACTACTGGTAAGCTGAAAATGCTTGTGTTAGGAGTGGTTTATGACAATAGTCGAATGGCAAATTCTAACCAACAACCTTTTAAGTTTGCAATCTGCACCCTGCCATTAAGCTTACTGTTGTTAAGTACACCGTATTCTATCTCATTCTCTCACAGACTAAATCCTAGTGTATATGTTTCTCTTTTAAGTTTTTTTTTAAGTTTTAAGTTTTCACTTCAAAAAGATCCTTGTTTTCAACTTTAGTACTTTAAAGAAGAGATACAATACATTAGGATTAGGAATATGATTTTTTTTTAAAGAGAATATACTAACCACATTGAGAAGATTCAGCAATTCACAGAAAGCAAAACGCAGTGCATACATATTATGGGTGTTAGCACCATTATTATTAAGGTCATTGAAATAAGCCAACAACTGATCACGGCGCTGTTCAGTCCAATGATTTGTCACTATTGGGCAATCTGAAAAAAAAAAAAACACTTCTGTTTCGAATTCACAGAAAAACTATAGCAGTCTACATAATCTGAACATGCACTTTAGATTATGAAAGCAAAAACCTTGTTTGTATCCAAAGCTACCATGGCAAGATTTTGAGAAATTGTAAGCTCATTCAACATAGATTGTAACAAAAATTATCAAAAGGACCCAGTTTAAGTATATCAGATTGTTATTATCACTACCTGTGTATTGTTTCATATTTTTTCTGATATTTTCAGTAATAGGGTGAATAAAAGGATTATATTTTTTGGAAAATTCTGCTCCAAAAAGCATCCAACTGACCTAACCCAACATTGTTCTGTGCATATGATAGCCACATAAGAGTAAGAGTATCTACACTCCCATATAATCCCACTCCCATGCCATTAAATAAGATTAAAGCAAATGCTAAGATCATGTATCTTCTGACCGATGTTGAAGTGATCATCATGTGTATGTCTAACTCACATAACCTTGACAGTAACAAGGAGCAGTTTCTACAGTAAAACAGTTAATTATATAAGAATGGCAGTTATGCCAATTTTTAAGCAAGTTGTAAAATTTTGATGGTTTAGCAATAATTATAACTAATAATAATAATTAAATTTTTAAACTTTTTATGTGGTAGAGCCACTCTGCAGCTACATTATGGTTTTAGTATGAATGGGTTGGCTCAATCGGGGTAGGACCACACTCTCACTGAATACCAGAATAAAATAGCAGTTTAATGCTGCTGTGTTTCATATGATGAGTGTAGAGAGGTGGAGACCATTTTTACTGGAAATGAGGCATTCCATCTTAGTGTTTAGGGGTGACAATGCATCTGCATTTTGTTTCTTAATTGAGGATAAATGTAGATGTCTTTGGGCCACAGCATCCACTTACCATCAGATGGACTGTGTGCTCGTTTCTAACCCTGTAATACTATTATTAAAAAAAACTGCATAAATACACAAAAGGAGTTAAGATTTTAGCTTAATGCACTATTAATATGAAAACTAAAAATAAAAATGTGTAATTTATACTCAAGTTTTCTGCTAAGTCTTTAAGTCTTCCACCTTCCCATGACTTCCAAAGATAGTGTGGAATGTAGAACATGACTGCCTGTCCCAGAAGAACAAAACACACCCACTGGTAGTATGTATGCTTAATTTGTTCATCATTTTGTGTTTTGCTTGGACCCACGCCGGCATAAGCCATGTGTTTGCCTTCTATACCTGTTATGTACATAATATGATATCATTTAAAAATAACAGATTCATTTTAAATCAACATAGAAAATTTTATTCTGGATCAAAATAGTGGACATTTGATTTAAAAGTATTTAATGAAAAATTTAAATTTTTACATTACAAATAATACAATATTTTTTTCACTGGCAAGTATTTTATTATTATTTTTTTTAAATTAAGTGTTTGAAATAAAATTATTATTATTTTTCTATTAAATCAATGACAAAAAAGCAAAAAGTTCGCCTGGTGGTAATAGTGAATGGACACACCTGAAAGCAACTTCAAACAGGAAAGGCTATACATATTCATTGTTATCCTTGAGGGTTTGGTGAAATGCCTCAGAGCATTTCATTACACTAGTTTTTTTTAACTTTTTAAACTAAAGCACGGTAGTGGGTACCATGTTCCCTGACATTGATACCAACCGAGACATGTTCTTGACGTATTTTGGTAGTAAAAGCGCTATCTAAGCACATACCTCAAGTATCTTTTTTATAACCCTTGTGCTGTCAAAATCAATTTTACGGTAATAACTAAATAATATGATTGATATACCATTCAAATTTAGTGTGGTCGCTCATTGAGGTATTACTTACGCTAGTAATATAGGTAGTTCAATGGGTCGCCCATAATTTTTAGATAAGTACTTATTTCAACTGCTAATTGCGACCTATCGGGATTTAAATTAGGGGAAGTTTACGTTGACCAACGTGGTCTACCTCGAATAAAGCAGCATTTTAATTTAAAACGCAAGGTATTCGTCTTGATCGGTTTACATATAAAAATACTAACCCACAAGTTGGCTCTTCAAAGTGTACGTTCCGTAAATCCAGCAATAGTTGTTAATGGCATCTTTATCATTATTTTCGTCAGATTCGCTCATACAATGTATGGGTTCTCCAAAAAACTGTTTCGAGGTAACCATTACGGTGAACATAAGCAACATAATCACCGTAATTTTATAGTGCAAGCGAAACACATTGTTATCGGTGCACACACTTTTGTATTTTAGAAATGAACGAAAGGGCGGTAACAAATCTATCATTTTTGGTTTATTTCGCGCAACATCACACAGGAAAATTAAGATAATTCAAAAGTTATACAGGAAAACAATAATTGAATTTGAAATATTATTAGCTGTGACATTCAACTACGACCGACGACGAACATTTTACCCGCGAATGTGTTTTTTTTTAGAGTTTACATACACACTCTATGCGAATAATAATTTGACGGAAATATAATTCAGCCAAACAGCCAACTAAATAATTTTATAAAATTAGGTCGGTTATATTACAATTTCATAATACGAAAACGGTGGAATATATTGTCAATTATTAAAAAAGTATTTATAGTAAAGTAGAAGTAGAAGATAAAAATATGAATAAATAGACAACGTTACAAAATTAGATAAAATTTGCACCACTGACTTGTGCAATGAAATTACAAGAAGAAAACTTATTATTTAGTGGATTAAATTGTTTATAGTATATAGGTATTTTAATTTCGATTTTATTTTATAATTTAATTAATTGCTTCGAATTAATATGGATATCAATATTATAATGAAAATATTAAATTTAAAAATAATGCAACGTTTGTAAAGTAGTAGGTACTTTACGAACGTTACAACATTTTAAAATAATCTAATATTTTGCTTTTGCTCACGGTAGGTACCTATCTACTTTTGAAATAACCTACGTAGTGTAATATATAAATCAATGTACGTAGCACTATTATTTATTCTGTGGTAATATTAAGTAGCAAATTAATATTATATGACAATGTTAGTTCTGTAAGTAAGAAACTTACGTTAGTAAGTATATCAATTATTTTCTTATATTTTTTACATAATATTTTTGTAACTGCGTTGTTTAGTTAGTTATACCTATGAAATAAGAATACCTACCTTGCTATTAAGTCGCGTAGATATTATAAAAACGAGGTCCGGCCTCTTCGTTGGCTTCTAAAAGTTTAAATCTTTGGTAAAAGTCCACCGTTGTATAGGTACCTTTGTTTCCCGTTGTAAAAATGATTTGCCTTAATCGTCACCTTTGAGTATTTACTCAAAGATCGTCACGCTTGGTAGGCGAATTGATGATCGCAGTGGTAGGTACTCAGCAAAGACTAATAGTATTTTGTATACTATGCACGAAAAGAGCACTTGCTAATATTTGCCCATGCCGATTACATTAGAGCATAATCTTAGTATTATTTTACGCCTAGCGTAAAGGGATGGTTATATCCTAATCTATCGGAAGCTATGAGAGTCTTGTTTACGTCTGCTATAGTCGCCTATTATGACATCCACACGGGGAGTTTCAAACATAAGACTAAAGCCCATATAACAACTTCAAGAGATTTGACACAAAAGTTACTATCGTGGGCTACCAAAATATACAACACTAGCTTGCCAGGCAGACGTTGTTCTGCCCTTTTCGACGACCCTTTGTCATGTGCTATTAAATATCCTTAAATTTGCAAAAAAAAATTATGGGTCACTCATGGGCAAAAAAACTATCATATCTTTCAAGTTGGACCAAATTGCACACGGTGTGCAAATTTGATTAAAATCGGCTGAGTAGTTTAAGAGTCCATCGCGGGCAAACAACGTGACACGTAGTAATTTATATACTATATTAAGATTTGAGGGGTGCCAAACCATAACGTTTCAAGTGCCAGAAAGTGGAATTTTCAGGAGATACAAAAAACAGTTTTAATGGAAAAAGAAAGAGCAAAGCAATAAAAAAAGAATGTTTAATCAAATTATCATTTATTATTAATAATTTAACACAACTTTTGTGTCAGTCAAAACAAGGAAATAATATTATTTTGTTTCTAAAAAAATTAAAAGAACAAAACGTTGTAAGTACCATTATTTATGCAAGTCATAACGTTGTAAGTATTATATTACTTGCACATAACTCAACTTCAATATCTTTATTTTAAAAGGTTTTCATAAAATAATTTGCTATCTCCGGCTAAATACGGCAACATGGCACCAATGTCTTTCTTTTTTCTCGGCAGATAAAGGTACAGGTGTCTCGATCATGTCAACTTGTACCTAGGTTCTCAAAATTCGCTTTAGTAATTCTAATAAAACTAAAATGCTAATAAAACTAAGGTTCTTGAAAACTAAGGTATTTGAAAAGGACGAAGAGAGAACGAAATGTGAAATATGGGTAAATCAGGAATGTCTAGAACAGGTAAATGAAATTGTATACTTGGGGAGTGCTTTCAGCCGGGATGGAAGATGTGATTTAGATGTGGATAGGCGTGTCGCTGCCGGAAACAAAGTCAATGGTGCCCTGAATGCATTAGTAAAAAGGCAGGGCGTGGTGAAGAGTGCACGCCTTGCAATACATAACGCAGTGTTGGTACCGACTTTGTTATATGGCAGCGAAACCTGGGTATGCCAGAAGAAGCATAAAAGCAAGTTGAATGCAGTGGAGATGCGATCTCTTCGTAAAATGTGTGGCGTTACCATAGCCGACCGAAAGCGAAACGAAGAGATTCGCAATATGGCAGGATTGAAAGATGACCTTATCACAAAAATTGATAGGGGCGTACTCCAATGGTTTGGGCACGTTGAGCGAATGAGTGAAGACCGAATGGTGAAGAAAATATATAGAGCGAAAGTAAATATTAAAAGGTGTCGAGGTAGACCGAGACTAACTTTCGAAGACCATGTGAGCAAATTGCTCGAAGAGGGGAGGGTCAAGAGTACTCGGATACCTAGACGTGCATGTATGAAGAAGTTAATGAACCTGAAAGAAGCGAAAGAGGTATGTAAGGATCGTGACACTTGGCGATCTGTTCTCTCTGGCTACCCCGTTAGGGATTGTGCGTGAAGATAAGTAAGTAAGTAAGCTTTAGTAATTCCAGGTTTAAGCCCTGGAGTTGATATCCAAGGAGCAAATTCGCCGTAACTTTTCTTTGTAAAAATGACACCAAAATTTTCAGATGTTAGGCGAATCATCGTTGCCGAAGATATCTGTAGCTTTTTTGGTATTAATCATATTTTTAGCCAGATTCATCCAATTAAAAAAAGGTTTTATTATCCACTACCAAGAATGGGTTTTTTTTGCCAGCATTTGTAATAAGTTCAATAAGGTCTTTTGTAATAAGTTCAATAAGGGCTTTGCACACTTTTTCCCTTTTTTAATGATCGCAAAATCACGGTCGCAGGCGAGAAATGTATGACCCTTTACAGGAAATTTATGAGCAATTTCTGAAAAGAAACCTTTTGCAATTAAAACGAGGAACATAGCAAGTACAGCTTGGTTCTTGTTTTGTCCACCACAGTTATCTGACCACAAAATTAATTTCTTTTTATCTGTAGTGTATCCTATTTCACTAAAAGTGGAAAACTTTTAAAGACAGGAAGCGATCTCGTTGGAACCCTTTTGCCCAACAGTTTCATTCCAGAGAAACATGATGCCCTTTCCTTCGTCCTCCAAGTGAATTCCCATATTGACAAACGCCAGCTGACGACTGTAGTACATCTGTGTATGGGTTAATGTTGGGAGGTACATATGTTGCTGGAGATCGAACTGAACCACTCGAACATCTGAATTAGGGCATCTAAAGTCTGCTCCATCATTATTTATTAGTTTTCTGGCCATCTCAGCTTGCTTGTGATGAAAGTCCAACTTTTGCTTAGCGAGGTCTTTTACTACTTCAGTTGGAGCAGTATCTATTTCGATTTTAGAAGAGTCACACGTCGGGCATGTGTCTACTCGCGGAGGCTTGAAAGAAAGATTAAACTCGGTCAAAAATATTTCATTAAACCATTGCCTAGATACTGGTGGCTTAGTAGATCCATCACGGTGCTTTTCTAAAAACCCTTTATATAGTTTGACCACACTAAGTTCTGTTGGGAGATATTTTCTATTAGGAGCGTCATTTCGACTATAATGACTTTCTTGAGCCGGTATTGATTTTATGTACTCGATAATCTTTTCTTTCCACTGAGGCTCGCGTCTCTGCCTTTTTCCACCACGTCTATCTTTTACAGATACGTCATTACTAAAAAAAATTTCGGAAAGCATCTGCACACGGCGTTGACTGATACCAAAAGTATCGCAAAACGTCTTTTTACACATCTGAAATTAAAAGAAACTTATAACTATTTGTAGAATAGAATTCTTTTGAAAACATTAATTACTGTACTATCTAAGAATATAATTCAAATAACGAATAGTAATTGTTACCTGAACTTCCGACATGCCTCTAATTATGAGATAGTATTTAAATGTACGTTGTCGCCTGCTTTCGGTCGCATCTTCATAATTGCCATGTCTCCTTCTGTTTATTAAACATAGCCGTATAAGGTTTTTTAGGTAAATCTGCTGTTCGTTATAATCTCCCAGATTCCAGAAGTGAAATAATTTTTTACGGCATTCCAATGTCAAACAGGTACACGAAAACTGGCATTTGCAAGAAACCTACAACAAAGTAAATGATTAAATTTACAATTTGCATAAAATGTTGTTTACTGTTTACATCACCGTTTAGTAATATAAGTAATATTTAAAGGTAAAATACTATGTTTACGTTTTTTAACAATGGTTTAAAAAAAATTGTCACACATACCTCACTTGGCTCACTTTTTTCACTCACTTCTTTAATTTTTGTATTCACATACGATAAGCCCTTATTTCTGCAATATTTCCTTATTGTTTTTTTCCATGTCTTTTTATTAACAATTTTTTTCTCGTTGTAGACGCAACGTCTTGTTCGGACATTTTGAATGCACTGACGTTTGCAGCTCATTTGGCACTTACAACGTTATGGCATGCTGTTTCTCAATATTTAAGTTAGATGGCGTTAGAAACTGTAATAGTGGAGACGAACTGTCCACTATTAACAGACTCCGAGTGGTTTTCTTTAAGGTGGAGAAATGAAACTACTGTTTATAAGCAAAGCGGAGTATGAATTTAGAATGTACTGTCGAATGGGATTCGGAATGGAATATATTTTGCATCAACCTTGCCTATATTTATATGGCTGGCTCACTATTGATTTGCCAATGGTAACAATTAATATTTTGCCTAGCCAATTATATTGCTTATTTTATGACCAATGAAAACTATTTAAAATATACAATTATCTACGTTTCGTTTCCCGGCGTGAGACTTGTTTGTTGTTCACGAAGCTACGTCGCTGGACCGGGCTATATAAGACATGCAGATCGGTGCGCACGCGTAGTCGGCGGGCGGCGGCGGTGTGGAATACAGCTCCGGAACAGCAAGAGGAAACGAACTGCGGCGTTGAAGAAACGGCTCACCATTGGTCGACGGATACGTGACGATAGCGGCGTGTGAAGTCGGTGTGGCGCTGAATGATATTTGCGGCTGCTTCTTGTTTCTTTATAAGAACGTCAAATTATCTATATACAGTCCGCAGTATCTCAGTAGCCAAGAATAATTAGGAAATAAAATGTTTTTTTATTTATTCTCGCCTTCCGCGTTATGGTAGCAGCGGAGTATATATTATTTATTCCCGTTTAGGTTTGATTAATCTGGCTGCTACATCACTCTCCCCCAGCGAAAGCGTACCGGAGGCTTGACGACTCGCCCGTATTTCGTAGTTTTTAAAATAGGTTTCAACTGGGTTGATGTAGATGATGAAGTTTCAAGCTTCCTCGCTGGTGGTTTTGATGATGATGATGAATCCTCTGCAGTATCCTCGTTAATAATATAGGCAGGCTTTAGTCGGTCGATCGATATAATCGTAGATTTCCTTCCGGGTATTTGTAGTTTAAAAGTCTTGCTATTTCTCTCTAATACTTTATACGGTCCATCGTAGGTAGGTTGAAATTGTTTTTTCATTGCGTCGTTTCTTACAAAAACTTGTTTGCATGTTTTCAAATCTTGGTGAATGAATACTGATTTATTATTTCTGTGTGATTGCATTTCGGTGCATTTCAACGATAAGGCTTTGTTAATTGATTCTCGAAGTTTAGTTACGAAATCGTAATCCATTTCTTGTTTGTTTGACGCTGCTGAACTGAAGAAGTCACACGGCAGCCTTATGCTGCAGCCGTAGGTTAGCTGAGCGGCGCTAAGACTAGTGTCTGCACGCGGTGTTGCTCGTAGTCCGAGTAGCACTGTAGGTAGCTCATCAATCCACTTTGTATGTTGAGATAAACGAGTTTTGAGTGCAGTCTTTAATGTACGATGCCATCGTTCGATTATTCCGTTTGACTGAGGATGATATGCTGTTGTACGCGTTTGAAGAAGTTTGAGGAATAGGTTGCTTTCGAAATTCCTTCCTTGATCCGTTGTGATGGTTTTAGGTGATCCGAAACGAGTAATCCAATTTTCATAAATTATCTTCGCGACGGATTCGGATGAAGTATCATCGGTAGGTATTGCTTCTGGCCATCTTGTTGTTCTGTCGATCATTGTTACGAGATAACGATGTCCTTGCGGTGAAGTAGGTAATGGTCCAACGATGTCAACGTGCAAGTGTTCGAATCTCTCCGTGGGTGGAAATGTAGCTAGACTACTTGATGTATGCCTTTGTACTTTGCATTTTTGGCATTGAATGCATTGCTTCGCCCAGTTGCCAACATCCGCTTGCATTGCAGGCCAAAAGAATTTTTCAGTGATGAGTTTTCTTGTTGTTCTAACACCTGGATGACTAATGTTGTGCAGTGCATTGAAGACTTCGCGACGACATTCTTCTGGTATGTATGGTCGCATGGTTGTCGTTGAGGCTTCACAGTATATAGGTAGATGCGTCATTGGCATTGTAACTTGCTTGATGGACAAGTTACCTTGCTTCGATAGATGTTTTATGTTGTCACTATCTCTGTCTTGTGCTGCGGCGATCTTATGATAGTCGATTGATGTAGGGCACGTTACACTGTCGATTGGTACGCGACTGAGTGCGTCGGCAACTATGTTGTCCTTTCCACTGATGTGACGTATGTCGGTCGTGAATTCACTTATGAAAATAAGTTGTCTTGCTCTTCGTGGTGTTTCCGATAGTGATGGTTTCTTTGGAAGTACATATGTTAATGGCTTGTGGTCGGTAAAAACGATCAGGTTTCGACCCTCGAACGTTTTTCTGAAGTGCTTGATAGCCATGTAAATAGCGAGCAGCTCTCGGTCGAATGTACTGTAGTTACGTTGAGTATCGGAGAACTTCTTCGAAAAATATCCAAGTGGTTGCCATTTCCCATTGCTGTATTGTTGGAGAACTGCTCCTGCTGAGAGATCGGATGCGTCGCTGAAGATAGCAAGGGTTGCTTCGTGTGATGGGTGAGCGAGTAAAGCTGCATTTTGGATCGCAATTTTACAAGCTTCAAATGCCTTCGTGGCTTCATCGTTCCATTCGATTGACGTTTTATCTTTTTTCTTCGTGTTGTGAAGGTAGGCGTGAAGTGGTGCTTGGATTTCAGCGGCTTTAGGTATGTGTTCTCTGTAAAAATTTATCATCCCAAGAAAACGCCTTAGCTCTTCGATAGTTTTAGGTTTTGCATAATCGATGATTGCTCTGACTTTTTCGGCAGGCGGTTTTATTCCTTCCTTGCTGACGGTGAAACCAAGAAATTGAACTTCTTGCTGTCCAAATATGCATTTCGAAGGGTTGATTGTGATTCCGTTGTCTTCTAATCGCTGTAGCACGGTGCGTAGATGGGTTTCGTGCGTTTCTTTATCAGGGCTTGCAACAAGGAGATCATCAATAAATGCGAAAACGAAATCCAGTCCATGAAGTACTTCGTGTATGAATCTTTGGAAAGTTTGACCTCCGTTCTTTAATCCTGGGATCATTCTTGGGAATTCGAATAATCCCATTGGGGTAATTATTGCTGATTATTTATTCCCGTTTAGGTTTGATTAATCTGGCTGCTACAAAACCCTTCAACTCATTACTGCAAGTAAACGCCGGCGCATACAACGTTTTACTGCAATAAAACGCATTTCAGTTCGTGTGGCACTTAAAACGTTATGGTTTGGCACCCCTCATTTTAGGCAAAGTGCAATCAAGGAGAGACTGGTTAATTGCTTCAGTGCACGGCTTTTTTATGACAACACTCATCCGCAGAGTTTATTAGGCTAATAAGACAAAAGATTTAAGGTTTAAGATAAGAATGTGTTCCTAAAGATTAAGTATTTGGGCTCCGGTTTTCATCATTTGCCATAAATACCACCGTTACAGCCTGTTAAAGTCCACTGCTGAACATAGGCCTCCCCCATATATTGGTTCATAGGGATATTTGCCATAGTTGCAACGCTTGGCAAGTGGCAGTCTATTTTAGTCGTTATTTGGAAGACGCTGCTGCTCATCTTTTGATTTGTTTCCCTCACAACAACTTGTTTTACGTTGGTATTAAGAGTAACTGGACTTTGCAACGTGCATGCCAAAAGAAGTTAGACAATCTTCACTTATTTGTTTGACACTGCAAGTCATACACTATCGTAAATACTGGTTACTGATAAATTTGAGAATAGACACTTAGTGTTTCGAATATTTCAAAATGCTTTTTCCTGAAATTTTGGCGGGAATTTGCTCGCAACAAGAAATGTAGTTGGCGTGATTATTGAGCCTATACCGAATTTCTGTCACGGCATGCAGTCTCAATTCGACGGAGCATAGCCATCTGGGCAGGCAAGGATTATAGTGCACAAGTGTGTGCTTCCGAATATCCTTGTATAGGTACCACCGGAGAGAGATCAGGCGTAGCCCCCCCCCCCCCGGTTGTGTTTTCCGCGACACAGAAGTTAAACATTGCCAACTTCCTGAGTCCAGGCTATTACTGAGAATTTCTTGACAGAAAAAAATCATTAACTAACCCGACCCGGGTTCCGAACCTTATGATCCGCAATCGAGCTTACAACAACTAGACCAACAAGGCAGTTAACGAATTTGACTACACCCAATAATGTTTTTAACTGCTGGCTCCTTCTTTGAGTGAATCTGCTGAATTTAAAAGAAAACGGACATACTACTGGTAATATAGGCCGATAATTACGGTAACTCAAGGCAATGTTAGAGCAGCAGAAAAGCTTATTCGAAAAACCCAAAAAATTATTACAAA